AAATGTGGGCATTTTAAGATATGTCTTCATGGCATAGTGGTTCCTGGCTCACTTAATTTTAGCTGATATCTTATCTTCTTCTTCCCATTTCCTCTTAAACTCAAGTATGTTTCTAACAAGGGCTAGTCAGCCTACATTTTCTATAGGTTACATTTCAGGGGCCACTTTGGCTTATACCAAACAGATCCACTTTTTGATGAAAGTACCACCTGAGAGATGGCTCTCCTTCAATGCCCTCCCACAAATTCCCACACATTCCAAAACAATTTTCTCACAATTTGCTGGAATAGCATCGGAGTTCCTGCAGCACTCAGAACATGTGAGAAGGCTGCAGGACTCCTAGTGACACAACAGAGTGACCAGAGAACTACCAGTACCTGCAAAGGATTTCATCCTGCCAGGAAAAAACAGCTAAAACTGACACTGTCCAAATGTTTATTCTGGGGACCAAGAGATTTAGGAAAGTATTGAAAATGCTGGACCTTTCAGAAAGACAAATTTAAATGTCTGTGAATAATACATGGTCATTATAGACCTGGGTCACACAGTCATTAAAAATGCAGCTACAGTAGCACCTTCATCTAGCAGAGCGGCATATTAGCGGGTACTTGTATACTTGCAGAAGGAGTCTCAAATACCTTTTTTTTTTTTTTTAATAATGCTGTATGAAATTCTAAAAGAGCATTTCAGAAGACTGAGAGACGGCAATTACAGAAACCTCTAAAAATCTAGATCCCTTTCTAATCCATTAATCAACAAGCAGAAAGTTCCTATTTTAAGACAGGCAAAATAACTACAAAGTACATGAAGCTAATATTTATGCACACTATTCTCATAAATATACTTTCAAAAAAGTTACTGTGTTGAATTACTGAACAACTGGAGTTGCTTTTATGTTAACACCAGGAGTGCCCAGGTAGGGTAGGACTCCCCCTTGGCATGAGAACGGATAGGGATCCCTAACTTCCCTGATCTCTGCAGCTGCTGAAAAGCAGGCGAAGGAGGAACAGAGTTAAGTACTTGAGGACACAGCACAAGTCTGAACTGCTGCCAAGTTGCCTGGTTTTATTCTTAATATTCTTTCATTCAGCAGGCCCCTCTGCGAGATGACCATGGATAATAAGCTTCTTGCTAAGCGAGAGCCCTGACAAACAAGTGAGTTAATGGCTTGACTTAACAGAGAATCATATTAATATTTAAATCAAGGAAAAGCTAATAGCAAATGAGCTAATTAATTGGAGAGCAACACAGTAATCTTTTTTTAAATCTTACTTTGTTAAACAGTTGTCAGTTACTCTTTTGTTATCTAATAGTAAAGTCCTATACTAGGAGGTGTGTTCTGTGCCTGTAAGAAGTGTAGTGTAGGGCTCGGTCTCACAGCTGAGTTACCACAATGTCCCTAAGCTATTTTACCATTAGCCGTGTTTCCCAGAACCACTTCTATAACACACTCCCAGGAGCCTGGATTAAGCAGCCTCAAATCTGTCTTTTACGGTTGCTGTGACAAGAGATTTCTGGCTGCACATAGGAATTTCAGAACCCATTCAGGCTTCTCTAGATAGTGGGGGAAAGAATCTTCTTTAATATTAAACTAACCTTTTTTTTTTTTTTCTCCTTTTCTCCCCTCAGGAAGGAAATACAAAATGAGTTGTTTGGTTATACCAAAACACCTTTTTTTTATTCCTTTTATTCCTGAGATATATTACTTAACATGAGTTTGACTAGAATCTGTATCACCCAATTTCTTAAAGTCTATATTCTTCTAAGCATATACAATGACTTCATGAGAATGTAGACAGGAAATACCACAGAACCACAGAATTATGATAAAATAATAGTTTAGCTTTTTTAAAATTAACAAGTTATTCTGTAGCAAATAAGATTATCTGTTCATTTTTATTATGGTCAACTAAGGAGAGAATGCCTGGTAATAAAATAGGGAATCCTCTGACAGCTTTTAGCATCCAGCAGATTGAAAGGGACTATTAAAGACGTGACCATTCCCTTATCTCAAACCACAGGCATTTATGTTTCTCCCTCTTGTCTTTATTTATTTATTTTCCCATGAGGACATATATTTCCTTTTGTTCAGAAAATGTACAAGGCAATGTATTACCAAGTTCAGACTAAAAGGTCCGCTAAAAAGAAGTTCATGTTCAGCACATGATTAAAACTGGATAGAATAAGGGCAGTAAATGAAATGCCATGGCGCGTTCTCAGCACGACCAAGGATTTATATCAAGGCAGCATTCACTCCAAGGTTCTACTTTTAGCTTTTTTTGCAGTCATATACTCCACCCTATACCTGTTCCTCAGCCTTGTCTCAACTGGAAGAACTTCAATCTTCTTTCAGTGAGCGTATAAATTGTGAAAAACCTAAATGACCTACAAAAAAAAGCATCTGCCATAGCCCTTAGACTGTCAGGAGCAAATGTCTAAAACATTAGGCTGGCACATTCGGATCAGGAATTGGCCCTTCGAAACACCTCTATATTCTCAAAGACAAATGCAGACTCTCTTTACTCCTTTCTTTCTTTTCACCCTTTGGTGCTCTGCTGAAGCTCATGCATATAGAGGTAATGTAAAAGAATGGCTATATTCAATCCCAGCCTCCTGACAGAAGTGGTTTGAAGAATCTATTAGCTTGGGACTACAGAGAATGGGCTCATGAAGACAAAAAAAAAAGACAAAAAAAAAAAAAAAAGAAAAAAAATGTTATAAGACAACTACTTCTCCTGAATGAGAGAATCAGAATAATGAAGCAACCAGAAAAAATAATTCCAGATATAAGGCTCTTCCATAGTAATGATCTATCAATTATCGAGCAGTGGAATAACAGACTGCCATTACTAATGCTTTATCTTTCTTCCATTCCTTACAGAGACCAATAAAGAGATCAGACACTCCTAATGAGAGAGCAAACCTTCACACACAAGGTACATTGTTTTCTGCCATTCAGGTATATAACTAACGAAGAAGATAGAATTTGTGGAATTAAACCCAAAAAAGGTAACAAATACAGATGGCTCTCATGATAGATAACCCAAGGAAACTAGGTTTACATGAACGATCACAAGTGCCAAAAAAGAGCATATTTAGAAGTAATCTTTCAAGATGGAATATGACTTTTGTAAAAATCTCTCTTCTCTCAAGCCAAATTTACACTGGAAATCCTGTGATTTGGAAGACTGACCACTGTACTGAGTCCTCAAGACAACTATCTGTTCTACCACAGAGTGCTGGATCACACTTCCCATACTTTACGCTACTTCATTAAAACGTTAAGTTTATCTCTTTTTCACAGTCACACTCTGATAATTTGTGGTGTTCATGAAAGGACCATGTAATGTCCAAAACATATATCATTTTTAATTGATTCTTATTAAACTATATGTGCTAGATCATAATGATGGTTAGAGGTCCAGTGCACTGAATTTGGATTGCAATCAACTCTATTAGTCGCAGCATTACAAGATTAAGAGATATGAAACACTTTTACTTAAAATCCACACAAAATGCTCACTAAGCAGACTGAACGTGGGTCATTCATGTTTTTCATGAACAAGGCCCAGTTTAGTACTTCGAATGCATGATCTCTTCCAAGTCAACAAGAAATGTATGTGTAGGAGCAAATATGGATACATGGTCAGAAAAAAAATATTGTAATACATAAGTAAATTCAATGTCTGATTAAAGCTACATAACTTTAATAAAATGTGTCATGCACTTTGATATGCACAACATTCCCAAGAAGAGGATGACTAACTTCAGCTATTTGCCCTGAGCAACTACTCTTTACGAGCCCTAAATGCTATGGCAAGCAAATATGGAATAACATTCAAGAGTCATGCACTACAAAGTAATCTCACAAATGGTTCCCAACTATCACAAGCACTTCTGGAAGGTTAGCAGAATTATACCTTCTCAATGTTACAGACATTTTCAGAAACCCAGTGCTGACATATTCTGCATGAGAAAGCAAACTATTATTGGGATGACAGGGATACACAAAACTTTCTTGGCTGGTGGTTAATTTAATTTGTGTATTACCCTGAAAAAAACAGACATAAAAAGTGTTCAAAGACTAATCTTGACATATTAAAGTGCTTTGATTCTTATCATTAAAATTTATTAGACTTTTGACAGTATTAATTCAAAATCTTCCACTGATGTTTTATTAGCATGCTGAATTGTTCAGCAATGAAAAACATTCTCTGATAAATCTTCTATACCTGTTTTTGAGACAGATGACTCATTGTTGAAAAAAACATTAATGCCAGAAACTTAAATAAATGCATACACCATAGTGCTAAAATGATTATGTTATTCTACTTGCAAGTTTGCAATGGATATTTGCAGCTATTATCATCAGCCAGCTGCCTTAATCTGCCAAAAGTTTAAGAGGTCAGTGTTAAGTATTTTATCTCCCTCCTTCTCTCTCCATCTCTTTCATCCTATCCTCCTGCCCTTTCCCCTGCTCCTTGCTCTTTATAGATTTTTGCCTTTGGCATATAGTACCCTAATGAGAGTCTGTTAAAAAATAGGGTTATGATCTTTCTCATTATTTGTTTCCTTTTGGAATCTTCAAGAGCTATTCTCACAGCAACAAGAGTTAATGCAAACTGAAATACTGTAAAAACCATAAAGCAGATATAGGCATAACATACTGGCAGTTAAAAACTTCTGCTTGATCCTTGCTGAGCAAGTATCTCTTGCTTTACATACTACTAACTCTAGAAATAAGATTCACAAGTCAGTGTATTGAAAAGGTTACTGCTAAAAAAAAAAAAGAAAAAAAAAAGTCATAAAATGGTGGCACTCGAGCAAAGAAAAGCACTAAGACATAGACAGGGGTACTGCCACAGTAACAGATCAGCCACAGATCAACAGCAGCAGTAAAATTTTAATAGCACAAAAGGAAAGCCATACAACCTGCAGATGAAGAGGGATTTTTACTTTCCAGCACATGAGATTACTAACATTAAATATGAAATCTTCTGGGCAGGCAGCTAGACGTAAGCAACTGTACCTGGGAGGAGGGAAGGAAGATCTGGAATTCATCCTACAAAAAAGGCAAAATTAGACAGAGCTGCATCTAGGTAGCAAGTCTGGCCTGGATTTGGGGAATACTATATTTAGATAGGAATAATGCAAGTGGATTGAATTTTGGTCAAAGTGAATTTTTTAAGGAAGAATGTATAAAATGTAGTAGGGAGGAACATGAAGTAGTTATATAACTAAATAGATATTCAGAAAGGAAGAGAAGCAACCACACAAGAAAAAAAAAAAAAAAAGAAGACTTCTCTCAAAAAATATTTCAAAAAGGCAGAATTTGACAGTTGTTTTGTTTTCCCTGAGGTCTTTGGCTTTAGAATGTGTGCTGCTGTATAAGTGACTTTTTTGGTGTTTCAGTATTCACAGCCCAGTAAGGGACAGTCACAGACTAACACAGCTTTGCTAACACCATTTTTTTTCCCCCAAATACAATTAGATCCCAGAAAAACATTTCTTGTGTGTTTTATATTTAATGATGACAAAGTCAACTGAGAATCACTCAATGAAATGCAATGCATCTTCTCTAAAATACTCTCCCGCATTTAACTCTTTTTCAGGACTTCAGGACTTTTTTCAGGAGAAGAGAACTAAAAATGGCTACAGCTGTTTTTAACTGATTAGCCAAGTCCAAGCTTCTCCTGAATCTTAGAAAACTCACAGCAAATACTATAGAAAAAGACCCACTCCTCTGGGTTTTCTTAGATCTTTTCCTGTTTATGACATTTTTTTAACTGGTTTATGAATAATATTCTGCCATCCTCAGTTGCTTTCAGCCACTCATTTACACAGGTATTTCTGTTCAGCTATATAGTCCAGAATTCACATTCTAAAACTGTTTCTTTCACCAAGCATTCACCAAAAAATGGTTGGAAATACCCTGTAATTATAGAATCTTAGAAAAATTCATTTCAGAAAGGACCTTTTAGATGTCATCTGGTCCAAAGCAGAAGCAACCATGAAGACAGATCAGATTACTCAAGTCATCTTCTGTCAAGTTTTGACTGCTTCTCAAGATGCAGATTCTACACAAATTCTATAGTGCCAGATATATTTCTCTGAGTGAAGTATTCCAAATATTGTTTATATCTGTAAGTCTAAATAAATAAATCACAGAGCCTCCATGCTTTTGTTAAGTGCTACTTACACAGTTTTTCTTAGAAACCTTCTTAACTCCTTTAGGTGCTTATACCCCAAAATAAGAGACTTGCATAGCTTGCTTGCTTCTTACCTGTTTAGTTAGCACCCTATTTCAGTATACATTATTACATAAAAGTTAAGAAATGTATAGATTTTTTATCTCCTATACAAAGTACACACAAAACTGAATAAATTACTCCTGGACTACGTAATTTTAAATTCACTTTATGCTCAGTTAAAATCTAAACAGAAATCCATAAAATCCATTAAAGCCTTCCAAACATATTCTGGATTAATTTTTCATGTGCTTAAATATTTCTGAAAAGCTTTCAGAGTTAGTCAGATTACTTAAAGAGTAATGGTATATTAAATTCAGGTGATGCTACATAAACACTGTCATTTCATAAGAATAATCAAAAATTTGAAAAGATAATAGTATAATCCTCTGGTACTTACCTACTAAAGCTAGTCAACCTGAGTGAAAAATATTTTACATTTCAGATAGCAAATTGGTTGCAAGATTTATGCAAAATGTTAACAGACATCAGTGAGAAGCAGTCAACAGTGGAAGGCCTTGGATATAGGATATTAGGACTTGGATATTAACTCACATTTCAACTAGTCTGTAAATGATCTGAAACAGATGTATATCTGAATAAAGGCCAAGTGGTTTGCACCCACCAAATCTCACTTGAATAATTAAACCATCCTGTCAACCTGATTTACAATGACCTCCAAAATGGTAGGAGAGACTGAACACAGAAATCTGTATTATCTTCTTGTAGCTTTCTTGTAGCTGAGAAAAAAAAAAAAAAGCCAACCACTAATTCAGCATGTTTGTATGTTAAGTAGCCTTAGAGAACTATGAAGAAAAAAGAGTGAGTGTAGGAGTAGTCCACTCCTTTGCACCGCAGCATAAGGAGCAGATATCAATAGTGTGCTTTCAGCAAGCACAGGGGCTGCTCGGATCTGCTCTGCACTCTGTGGCATCATCTTCTCTAAATCACCAAACTGGGGCAGAGAAAGGCCAGGGTAGCAACCACATGCATGGAAGGCATTAAGCAGGGGCACACTGCACCATTTTCTTTTTGAAGCAGCAGCAAAAGCACCCTAGTGTTGGGCAAGAAAAATAACCCAAGGACCTTCCATGAGGCTGCTCCGAATTTGTACTATGCAGAATGAGGCTGACAAACACTTCTGAAGGTTTGACTCTCCAGATGAGGGACTGCTAAAACTGCTGCAAATGCTTCTGAAGCTGATTGAAAACTCTCTGAATCACAGAGATATATAAATATGTTGTCCTAAATTTAGCATATTCCAGATTATCAGCATATGATGATGGTCTTGTTTTCTAGCAACTGGAAACATATGAACTTTTGATACAGATGTATATAATAGTTGTCCCAATCAGAAAAAAAAATCCTGTGAAAATATTTTTCTCTAACTCATACTAATAAGCACATCATACACTTTTAATTACTGAACCTGATCCTCTACACTATTACATCAGTTCTATTCCTCTGTACTGATGCAAAGATCTAAGTGCTCACTGCTCACCATCCCTCAGACAGCTATAATCAGCAATAATCTTTCTTATTCCCTTTAGTTTTCCTGCAGAATCCATTTATAAAATGTTGTGAAAGAAAAAGATTTCAGTATGTCTGAAAAGGAAAGCTAATGGAGATTCTTGTTTAACACAATCAAAACATCTGGGAGTCATCTTGCAGCAGAGACACATTTTTCAAAATAGAACCATGGTGGCATCTAGTTTTCACTTATCTACTCTCTGATCTACTTGAGTTTTTTGAGTAGCCAACATTAAGCTCTCTAGTTACAAACAGAATGGTATTCCTATTGCCATTGAGACTTATCACAGTTTGTGAAAAGATTCTCAAAAAGGATAAATTTGTGCAGCTCTCTTTAATTTTCAATACGATATTTAGGCAATGGCCCTTAAACAATGAAGTCTGCTTGTCTTTGAAACTCTCCGTGACATTTTTTTCAAGATGTAAATTCATCTTTTCCAATTGTATCTCATATTAAATTATATTTGCTAAATTTGGATGAGTAGAACTGATACAATAGCTGCTAGAAAAAAAGCTATTTCAAGTATGTGGAAGAAAACAGGATCAATAGCTAATGAAGATAATCAGACTACTATAGCACTCAGCATATCAAAATCCTAGCAGTGTCTCCATGTCTTCTCTCTTCCTTCTTTTTGAAGAAGGTAACAGTTCAAACAAAAAATATGTATATTGTTATTATTGATATACCTAATATTCAAGAGTACCAAGAAATTAACTATTTGTCCCTATTTCCCTTAATCATATCTTCTGATAGGGTAAAGCAGACACAGCACAAACAGATAATTCAATTACTTTCTGATGTGAATGCAGCTGTACCTCAACTTTCACATTCGATTGTCTCCCTGTTTAAAATCCTGAAGTCTTTTGTTCCCTTGCCTAGTTTTAGTGTCCATGTTTTTTGGATTGCTTTTTCTATAAGCTAACGAAGTAAAAGGATTTGTGCTATCCTAAATGTCTTGCAAACATTACAGCAAATAAATAAAGAAAGCTCCTTTGTGATTTTTAAGAAAATAATAAACAATCATCCTCTGTAAGACTTGTCATTTTGCATGCCTGTTTCATACAAATTAGTTCTACTGACATGCAGAATTTTGTTTGAAACCAAAACTTTTAATTTATCTGCTATCTAAGTAGAAATTGTATGGGATGTTTAAGTGAAATAGCTCATGTCAGAAATGACAGTGTAGTCAGGAGTGCTCCAGCTACAATCCAGGGCTTAGTGTAATATAAATACAAGGAATTTTAATCCCACTTCGAATAACCTCACTCCTATTCATACCAACACAGTAGATTTCAGGCTTATACACAGGAGATGTCTCTGGCTTCAGGGGACAGTGCAGTGTCTTCTATTCCCTGCCCACACCCACTCTGCAGGCTACTGCATCACTGTAGTGCTCATACATCATTCAAGCATCCCAGCTGCTAGGATGACTTTCCAACAGCCAAAACTGGTTTTGCAACAGATCTGTAGCAACAGTGAAAGCCAAAGCTGCCCTAATAATATATAGAAAAAATAGCTCTCAGTTCTGAAGTACATCAGTATGTTACTAAAGCATCAATCACACACTGAAAGCACTCACAATCAGTAAAATCAATTATAAATCTTATAAATCTATCCCTAAATTCAAGAATAAATTCCCAAACAGACCTTAAGGAGACTTTTTACCGAGTCTTTGAAGGAGCCCGTATGTTTCCACCTAATGCACTGTGGTGGTCAATAGCTAACTAAAATATCCAGTGCTAACCTAACAGTTTTTTTTATTAAAAAAATAAATATTTAGGGTGAATATTTCTCTACAATGAGACAAGATTTTGATATAAGACATCTCTGAAAATATATCAGGTGAAAGTAGGCTGGTGAGTAACTTTTGCTTTCAGAGACTTTCAAAGAATTCACCTCAGGTCCCAGACTATTTCTGTTTTAGCACATGTCATACCAGATTGTGATCTCAGTCATACGTGAGTAGTGGCATAATGCAAGCTGCTATGCCAAAGTCAGTGCTCTACTGGTTTCAAATAAACTACTTCAAACTCATATAAATGCACCTTGAACATAAATGAGCCTGAGTATATTAATGACATGTAGCATGGTCAAAACACAGTAGTCTGCAAGACCCACTTATAAACAAAATATCAGGACTCACCAGACACATTGCGGTTTTGTTTTTTTAAAAAGGGGGAGACAGACTTCAATGATCAAACATTTCCTTCTATCTTTTCAGAGTACATGTTAACAAAGAAAAAAAATAAAATTCCTGACGTAAGAAATTGCATAATCTGTAAGAATTATCTATAGAAGTGTTGTTTGGTACATTTCATATCATGGGTTACCACAATTGAATTTAACAAATCTTTTGAACTATGAGAATCTGCCCAATGGCAATGAAGTATTCTTGCAGATTAAGATAATCACAATTTAATATGCACGATACAGTTTCATTTCACACATGTTCTGCATGGGTTGATTGCCATGTATGCCAATACCAAACAGCTGCTAATTCTTTAATTTTTATGCTCCCAAAGTAGCATTAATTAGCTATGAGTTTTGAAAAGTAAAATGAGTTAAGTATTTTAAAGTTGAAATTTTGAAAAATAAAATAAAAATCTATCAGGAAATACAGTTTTCTAAATTAATGTAAACAACAATATAATTTTTAATATTCAGAAGAAGGCTCGATATGCAGAGGAACTGCAGACTGCTCTCATTAAATGCCACTTTCCTTCTTATAAACAAGCCTTCCATATTTAACTTAAGTTTTATTATACAAAATACCTCTGCAGGTCACCTGCAAGGCATAGTATGTTCTTTAAATCGGGTATTTTGCAGAGAAAGTGAATCACCATGAAAGCATCACCATATAGATTCTCACATCCATCTAGTATTGTATGCCTCATTTTATAGATCATCTAAATAAAATAGCCTTTTAATATAAAGTACTCCACAAATCTCGACTGTACAGAACACAGATTTGAAAACTTCAAGTTAAGAATAATGTGCAATGAGAGCTGTTGCCAGCTTGTTCAAACTCCTACTTTATGCTGTGTCAGGAGCCAGTCAAGGAGCCACAGGTTGGGATGGCAGTGTTCACCAAAAACTGTGAATCTTAAACAATTATTTATCTGCTCAAATGGAGTTGTTAAAATTATTCCCACAGAAGTTGGGTCAGATCTACAGCTTTGGATTTGATCTTAGAGAAACCAATAGGAGCCTGTATGGATCTGAAGAATACGTACTATTCTTTTAGCAAGTTAGTTTCAGCAAGCTGAAACAGTGCTTAGGCTGAAAATTGCAATTACCCAAAACATTATAATAACAGTAATCATAGCTTTATTATCAATTTGTAAATTATTTGTTAGATACTAAGTATAAATGATAGATTAATCATAACAGAAAATGGTTTTAAAAATCAAGATATTCTGCCTCTGCCCATATCATACAAATCATTCTGCACAGTAACACTCCTAACACCAAACAAAATTGTTTAAATTTGCTGCTTACATATTTACATGAACTAGATACAGTTTCAAAGTGAACATGAAAACTGGTATTTTAAAAAGCAACTGACAGTCATGGTACAAGAGCCCAGTGACCTCTGCCTCCATTAGTTCCATTATTTTTTTTCAATGTCCAAATGCATGCAAATAGAGAGAAAATGCTAATTATAAGTCAAATCCTAATCCCCATGAAGTCAAAGATATAACGTTTCCATTGAATTTACAACAGGACAATGAATGAATTTAAAACAGAAATTTTACACCACAAACACACACACATGTAGATTTCTGAAAATATACACTCATCGCATTGCAGAGAATCAAGTCTGCATTCCTTGCTCAACCAAAATTCCCTCAGTGGAACAGCTTTGGATGTTATTTTTGTTCTCACTCTCATTTACTATGTTAAGTCTCCAGATTTTTTTCTCTTTACTTAAGATAAATGTGTGAAAGTGCCTGCTTTCCGTTCATAGATATTATCTTCCTCTAACTTTAAATGATTCAACTGGGTGAATATAGTTATAAATAATTGATCAAAATACATACCAGTTGTTAGGGGGAAAAAATCCTGAAGGAAAAATATCACTGCATCAGTAACAAATGCTGAACATTAAATCCTGACTTTTTAAATCGATCTTTAATTGTTTTTATTACCTCCTAATCCAGGTCTAAGACGATTATCATAACCATCCAGAAGTCTGTCTAGAATTCTTGTAAAGATGGTGATGTTATTCTTAGCTTCGTCTTCCAGCGAGTCAGCCAGCACTGATCTAAATGGACATTTTATATTTTACAAAGTGCTAGATATGCTTTACATACACTCAGCATGCAGTCATTGCAGATTAGCCTAGAAAATTAGCACACCACCCTCTAACACAAAAGGCATAGTTAGCACACAAATTCACAAATTATGTTTAACATGTTGAGAAACGTAAGAGTCTATGACAGGCTGTTTAAAATTCCCAGGTAGTAATTTTCCAGTAGCCTCTACTTCTAGTCCATGTTGCATCCCACTGGGTGCTACTTCAAGCTCTGCCAACACAGAGCTTGAACAACACATTCAGTTGTGCAGGTGCAAAGCGTAAAAGAGCTTTCCAGGCTCCATGGTAAGTCACTCACAGGCCGGTAAACTGAGTTCCCACATACAGAGCTGTCTCCTTCCAGCTCTATCCTGCCTGGACCCACCTCTCTGTGCTCTTTCTCTGCATAAATCCTGTGGATTTGCCTCCACCCAATGGTCATATAACGTACATGACCAGACCTACTAACAGGAGGGAAAACTCCAGTGATCATCATGCTCAGGGAGTCCTCTGATGTCAGTATTTGGTGGGTGGGAACAGTGATGCTGATTAGCAAACTGCAGGATAGCTGTAGGTAGCCTCTGTTTCTAAAATGGTACCTTGTTATAAAAAGCATTACCCAATTTCCACAGATGCCAAAAAACCTTGTACAAATTGGATAGAAAAAAAATCATAAATGAAGCATCAAGAAGACACTATAGATCATCAAGTGTTTAAGACTCCCCCGATGAAGAAGGATTCACGGGTCATATCTCCTTGGAAAACACCAGGGATTGGAACATGAATCTGCTGTCCAGCCAGCTGTGCTGCTGAACAGTCCAGCTGGAGCTGGATAACCAAATCAAAGGTTTTATGCGCTGGGGATCATTCCCATGCACAAAGTCCATGTGTACAAGTGTTACTGAGCCAACAACTTTTAAGTATCATGTATGTGCAAAGAATTAGTTTCTCTATCTTATTAACACCAGCACATTAATATCAAGGAAGCAAAGCCTCATATGCTACCATGCATGTTATTTAAACCTTTTTCAGCCATCTGATATTTCTTATAAGAGATGTTCAATATTTATGATCTATAATTGAACAACCATCATGGTATTTTGAATGACTAACTATGCCATGAAAACAAGTGTGATTTCTTCTGGATCCAAAATAGGTTTGAGAGGTATTTTTTAAAGCAAGCCATAAAACGAATATGGATAAGGGCTTAATGGTGGTTCCCAATTCAACAGCATGGAGGAAGTATTTAAATGTAAATCATTGCAGTCTGTTATTTCCATGATACATCCCACAGGATCAATAGAACCAGATACTTTTAAAGCAAATATCAAAACATCACCCATGATTTTACACTTATCTGTGAGTATACTACTAACTATAATTACTAGATGTTACATCTTTTAATTTTTAAATAGTATTGCTTCACTGCAAGTCTCTGCCATTTTATATGCTGCTTTTTTTGAGATAACAGTTTCAGAAGTTAAGATACCACCAAAAAACAGTTAATGGGATGGCATCATTGTTAGGGTGTAACCCCCAAACTTTGCTCAGGCATGAACTCTCTGATAATTACGCATGTAATCCCTTTGACGTCAGTGGAATTACTCACACGAGTTAGGTTTGCAGGATTGGGCCCACTGTGACTCAACTAATACTGCACCATACTTGGACATAAAGTGAAGTAGGAAACACAATTCCCCTGAATATTTTGGTAAATAGGTAACACACAAAAATTAATGTGGGCATTTTCAACCATAGGAAACTTGAATTGTTATTGCTGGTAATTTTTCCGAATTGGAAAAGACGGAGGGCAATAAGACCAAAGTAAATGAAGTCACAAACTACAACTGATTGCATGTTTAGGGATTATGGGCCACACAAAACTAATTACATGACTAAAATTACTTTCTACTATGCAATCACTTTAGAAATAGAGAACTTTAAACAATGTAAGAAAACTTGATTAATAAATGAGGCTATTGTCTTATTATATGTGACTGTGAAGTTGTATGCTATCTCCACCTAGAGGTTTAAAGCTTAAGCATCATTTTGATTTCTGTTTCGCTGGCCAAAATAAGACCAAAAAAAAAAGGCAAGATGTATTAAAAGAATGCCAATATTATTTTGGAGATTATGATTTTCTATTTGACTTCACGATAATCTTCATCTGCATGAAGAGATAGAGGTGTGGTATAGACTGATGGTGATTCCATTGCTCTAATATATCTTCAAGATCCTAATTCTAAATTAAAGCATTTAAAACCGCAGCTTCCTTTCAAATAGTAAAACAAAACGCTAATTTACAAACTGTTTAAGGAAAATCCATTATATGTATATTGTTCCTAGTACCTTCTCCCACTGCATCTGCTCTGGAAACTATGTAACATTTATTGTATTTGAACAGCTAGAAGAGATTTTGATATCGTATTACTATATACGGCAGCCTCTCACACAAGCCTACCCTTAGAAGCAGATAATAACATACATGTTTATATAGAACAACAAAATTAAACAACCGCTCACCTTGTTGGCAGCCACACCAATAAAACGAGAAGAACCAACTGCATCCCCGAGGGCACCAGCTTCCTCTTCATCGCTGCTCTTTGCAAAACCTAACGGTGCAACAAAAATACAAACCCACTCTCAGCTACAGCCACTCTCCGCCAAGCACTGCTTTCAACTTCACCCAGGGAAAAAAAAAATATGTCACGTCAATGGAGTCGGGAAACCACTAGATTTCTGCAGCACTTTGCACTAGTAGCAACTTAGGGTAGCTCCATCTTTCCCAACGATCCTGCTCTGTGCACGGAGGCAACGCTTGATCAGAAGTGGCATGTGAGCAAATGCATCAGATGCTCTCCTTTTCTGTAAGCCGAAAGCCCCAAGACGGGGTGGGGAAATAAAAGGGGAAAAAAAAAAAGGAAGAAAGGAAGAATCTGCACTTCATTTAGGAACTGCATCATTCAAGATCTGCAGATCTCTCCTGCCACAAAAGGGAAACTGTAGGTCCCACATCGCAAAGGGCCTTGATTCCTCCTGCAAGAGCAGGCCGTGAGCGGAGCGGGCCCTGCAGCAGCCCCTTCCCGCGGGCTACGTCCACGTCACCAAGAAGGAGCAATGAAGCAGGTTTATCCCTGCTGTCACAGCGAGCTGGAGCTCACGCACCTCCCTCAGACAACTCTCAGGGCTTAAAAAGCAGAGATTGAAACGCTCTCCTCCACAGAGTCCGACAAGCCGAGCGCATCCACGAGGAAACCTCCGACCGCCTGACCTTGGCTCTGCCGTCTCCGCGCTTCGCTCGGTCGTGTGCGACAAGGGGCCGCTTCTTCCCTGTTTTACTGCAGCACTTGGAGATCCTCGAATAAAAAAGGCTCTAGAAAGTCTATACAAAAAGCTGCCAAACAGCCACAGCTCATTGTCATGGGCAAAACGCAGCGTTCATCCTAATGAGGAGCCTCCCACGCTGCAGCGCTGCGGGCCGACTGCAGCAACGTGAAGCCGCCAGCATTTTAAGACAGTTTGAGCCCATTCGGCCCTGATCTGTTAAGAGAATGTTTTCTTTCAACCAAACTGCACGATATTAAGAAAAACGGGCTTTTCAAGCACACATCAAGGTAACAGGTGTTCCCTTTTTTTTGCTTTTTTCCTGCAGGGTGAAGAGCTGCCAGCTCCCAGCTCCCCCCGCCGCGCTGTCATTAATATTCCTTTCCCCACTTGCCCATTGGCACCGCCTGATTGAAATGCAGGCAGAAGGAAAGGCTGTCAGAGCAAGCGCAGCGTGCAGGCGGCAGGAAAACAAACCCATCCTATTTTTTTGCTCCTTTTTTTCTGCTTTTTTAGTTTTTTTGCCCAGATTGCACACTTTCCGTGGCGTTGCCTTTTAAATCCCGTTGCCCTCCTTTCTCAGCAGCTGGGCTGCTGCTGCGGTTCATTGCCATCGATTTTAGGTTTTCCCAGTGCAAGTGGATCATGACAAGCTTGAGAATTGAACGTACAAGTTTAAATTTAGTTTACCCTCATTTTTCACTGTTAGCTTGGAAATAATTAAATACCACCAGCAATAACATTGCTGCCTTTTTAAGTTTTTTTTTTTTTTCCTAAGCCAATATCTATCTCTCCACTCTCCTTTTAAACTGCATGAAAAAAAACCTTTCACTTATCCTCCTCATGCCACTGGCCTACCTGCTTATTGCATTTTTGAGTGAAGGGTTCTTGCTTCTGAATCATTATCAGGTTTAGCATGAATTGGGTGCCAAAACTTACTGGGGGGAAAAAGAAAAGTTTTTTCAGTTAACTACAAAACTAGAAAATTTGGGATGATTTCTTACTTTCTGCTGTTTTCTTTTGTGCTTTCTGATTTGTTGCTGCTTGCTACCAAATGCCCCCCATTTTCCCTCTCTCCTAGTGGCCTAAGAGCCCCACCAAAAAAAAAAAAAGGGGAAGAAAAGTGCTCGGGCTGTCAAAATGATCTCTTACTTCCAGCTTGGAGCTTTTTATTTTTTTTTTTCCATAACCTGCACTACTAAGGCCTGGAAGAGAGAGGAAGCAAGCTGGATTTCCATGTTATAAAATGACCTGTAAAATGGTCGGCGGTAAGAAACGACAGTGTCATCCCACTGGGCATAAATGCAGCAGTTGGAATCCAAAGAACAGTCATTCAGCAGCCACGTGATCCCAGAAACGCCTAAGATATGAAGCCTTCGTCTTTCCTTTGCAGCCTTGGAAGTGCCCTCTGCCCACAAATCTTCATAGTCTGGTCATTTAAACATCCACAGTCCACCAAAAATCTTTGGGAAATCTGCCTGAAAGCCTCCACAGATTGGGAATAAGAATGGCAAAACCTGACTATAAATGACTCTGCAGAATCTACAACTAGTACTAAAAGTCATAGCAACCTTCACAGTAAAGAAAAATAGTTTTGACCATCTATCTTAAGATAGGGTGGCTTCACAAAAATGAATATGCAGAAAAAATATCAAAAGTAAAGCTTTGGTGACTTATTCCAAAGCATGGTAGAAGCAGAGTAGTTTTTTTCTCATGGATGTTTGTGTCATTACTTCCCAATAGTAACTTCAATTAACTATAATACTTAAAGATTAAAAATTATATAAGTAGATTCTAGTCAATGTGTGTCAGCTTCACCAAAAAATACAAAAGCACATTTTTGAAGGAAAGGAGGCACAGTGGCTTCTTGTTCCTGTAGTAGTATACTGCTGTTCTCCAACAGCCACATGGCAGGTTGCTAGGTATTTCCAACAAACTTGTGCTCCAATGCTTTTCCCAGAAAAATATGGTAGATTTTTTACTGCGGTCATCACAGTTATCTACCTGTGATATTCCTGAGATTTATCATAGCTACATGCATTGAAGTAACACTTCAGATAAGGTACACACCTAAAGTATCAGAAATTTGAAAATAACTCCATATTCACATTCTCTGACAGTGTGGAGAGCCCTATACGGCACCCCAAACCACAGGGAAGCTGAATGCAGGGAAAAATTACCAAAGGGCATGAGAGATCCAAAGCAATATAGTTATTACCAGAGAGAAGAGAGAAGGTTCTTTATGATAGTCCCGCTTACTTATAACCCGCACTGCTGATGACCTGGAAGGCTTTTGAGGATAGATTTTGGGTTTTGTTGGATTTTTACTGTTATGTGCTTGGATGGCTCAGGTGTCACCCTTACTGAGTTCGTTGGCTATTTCTGATCAGAAAGAGTGCACTTGAGCCTCCTCAGGGGCACAGTCAGCAGGGAACTCTCCCTTCCATTCAGTGTTACTATTTGCTAAGTGGCGTTGAATGCTATTTTCATTTCTGAATTTCAGCTTGCTCTAAGACACATGCAGCATCCAACACAGCGCCCGGGTTGTGAGACCCTCCCGAGTCCTGATGTGCTCTGGAAGGGAGGGAGTCATGCCACAGATTTCCAAAGATTTGCAAGGGAGTTGCATCTGCCCATCAGAAGATGGCAAGTCTATTAATGACTGCTTTAGTTGTTTATTGAACACAGAAGTTGTTTTATTGAAAAGGTTGTATTTATTTTCTGCTATATTTGCTGAAATAAATAATCCCTATTTTAAGATTTTTTTGTTTGGTTTGTTTGTGTTTTGCTTTTTTAAGAACCTTGCAATTCCATTTATTATTCCCTCTTGTCAAGGATCTGAAAGTTTTACACGTGCTGATAAGTGATGTTTCACAATACCTTTGTAAAGTTAGAAGGACTTTTCCTGCAAGAACAAACTGAAGAGTGGGAAAGGTATGTGACATTTCATAAGCACTTCAGTTTACAGTTTTATAACAGTTTACAACCACAGGAGATGTTGAGCTCAGACCAGTCATTTCCATGATTGCAAAATACTAAAGTGAACGTTTCCTTTAACAGTTTGCTTAAAAGATTCAGATTCATTTAGATGACAAAGTTACTCCCTACAGACAGAAAAAAACAAATGCATAAAAACAATACTTTAGATTTCTGGCATTAGGGAGCTGGCAGTGAACTTTTTTTTTTATCATGGACATAATCAAGTAATGCCAACAGTACTTGACAAACTAGGCTGATCTGGGGTATGTTCTGGAAAATACTAGTTCCACACAATTTTTGGCAGGTTGAGGCAGTCGTCATATATTTTGTACTGCTTGAGAATACTCTGTATTCTTCTATCTAGGCCAGCAGCACTCTTTAGCTCTAAGAAAAAACAACAACAATCATTGGGATTCAGTAAAGTGATGCATTTATGTGAAAATTGAGCCTGTATTTTAGACCTTTTTTTTCTTCTATGCAAAATAACAAGAGCAGATTTTTTTTAGCATGAATTATGCTTTTTTTATAAATGTATTCACCTCTGAAAAGACAATCTGTCAATCCCTGTCACATTCAGTATTCAAAAGGTTATTTTATTTAGCTTTGTAAATTTTCTGTTTTAATTAAATAGTTAAGCAGTCATGTATAAAATCTAAAGGTTGAAGTCTGCTACTAAGATAGAACAGCTATATAATACAAGCATTTGTTATGTCATTTTATTTATGTGAATAATGACAAAATAAGAAGTTGGGAAGCGGGGATGAGTTTTTAGCTGGACCACTTCCCTGGACTGCTTCATCATACAGCCATATGAATGCTAATATGAGGCAGAAAAAGGAGGGAAAAAAAAACAGGAAAAAGAGGAGAGGCTGTCTCCAAGTTTACATTATGGAAGTAAGATTTGTCTTAAGAAAATAAGATTTTTATAGGAAATGCTAACTAAACATCATGGGACTCAGGTCTCCAAAACCACCCTAGTCACCAATTTTCTACAAACCAGTGCCACTGATCCCTCCATAAGGGGAAATTATTTTGAAAAGCACTATTCAGCCAGCCAGCGAAATCTTAGGACCTTAAATGTGATCCACTATTGCAGTGCTTGAGCATCTTACAATCTTTAGGCTATTTCCTCTACCTGGGCCACTCCAGGGGTGGGAAGAGATAGTGTACACATTTTAAAGCTCAAATAGTCTGAGCACCTACTGAAGTAAATAGTCCATGCCAGCTGTATTTCAATAGTGCATTGCCATCCTTTAGTTACTTTCCTAAATTCACCCAGAAGGTTATCAAACGGGAAACTGAAATGAGCTTTTCTAAAACTCCCATCTTACATATTAATCAGTGTTTCTCCCCCATGGGTTACACTTCCACTAAATTTTAACTGTAAAATTCACATTAGGATTTTTAGGCTTCTCCAAACACAGGAATGTGCACAGACTGAGCAGGCTCTATGGGGAGCAGGGAGGTTTGCATCATGCATTTCCAGAGCAGCTTTTCCTTGGCAGGACAAACACAAGACAAGCAGCAGAGGGCAATGCAACACACGCCAGCCGGGATAGCAAAGCTCAGAGATAACACTAACTCATAATTCTTGGTCTGAGTGAGTGGAAGATCTGCTTTTGTAAAGAATGCACGGCCAATTTAGCAATAAGTTGTCTTCAGCTACACATTTCTTATTTGCTTTTCACAGCTACAAGGAGCTCACCTATCACAGCAGACTAAAAGTATTGCTGCAAAGTAAAATATATTGCTGCAAAACACAACCTTGGCTGTGAGAAGACAAAACTCAGAAATGCAAACATACTTAAAATAATTTCAAAAATATCTTTACATGTGTGTTACTTGTTAATGCAGTTTATCTTTCAGCTGTTAATTGTTCCTTAGACTCTGAAGATATTTTCCATGTAAATGACTGCAAATTATCGATATTTCATATCCCAAGCATCCAACTTGAGACAAGTAGACCTTTTTTATGGGGGGGTTAGAAATATTTGCCATTTTTAAAAGTCAGCCTGACTACATGGAACTACTTTGAGGTTCATTTTCTTTGAATATGTTTTCAAATTTAAAGACATAAATACTCTTCTACTGCTACTATGCAATTGATCTTTAAGGAAATTTTACAGATATAGATTATGTCTAACCCTATTCCAGGAAGGATAGACACTAGACGTCTGTCACCCTCTGTTGCCCACAAAATTGCCATATGTTGACTTTGCAACCTCGAAATACCAGCAGAACTTCAGGAACTGCTTTTGCAAAAGTCTCATCTCTCCTCGTCACTGGCTGATATCGGCCTTCCTCAATGGTCCTTAGTGCGCACTGATTTGTCAGTGAACAGTGGACTTGCCTAGTCTCAAGACCTCGGACAGCTTCTGAGAGGATGTGCTTCTATACATCCTTTTCCAGCCCCATAACACAGTCTGAAGACAGAGGACAACTGCACAGGGGGATACTTCTATGTTTATTTAATTAATTAGTTAAATTCTGCTTTTTGAGAGTCAGCAGCATGCAGGACTTGCTAAAAACAAGAAAAAACAAGGAATCTAGCAAAGCAAAAAAAAAGAGGGATTAATGAAGAATGGTTTTTCAAAACAAACTGGTTTGCAAGGTATAGTCTTTTTGCTTCATAGCATCTTGTGTTTATTTACAAAAACACGATCCAGACCTTAAAATTGGCTGAAAACTGATGAAATTGGTAGCTCTGGCAGTGACAGATTTTGAGGAGAAGCTGTTTCTCACATCCCTCCTAAAAAGACATTTTATTTTTGAATTAAAAAAATGGATGCTTTCGTGGGGTTTTGATTTAAAAAAAAATCATCCTTGCCCTAATTGCCTTGCTGCTCAAGTGGATGCTCAATGTATTTAGCAATCTGACCAATAAATGTTCTTCGTTCAGAAAAGCATTTGTTGCTCTCCTTCCAAGGTTACCTTATCTTGGGTGATGAAAAAAAATCTACATTGTTAAAGTGATTCTGCCTCCTGGAACTTCAAAGGATTTCCTGATACCTGTGACTAACACTAGCTAAAACACATGCAAAGGTGTTTCTCTGTCACAAACAGCAAGTAATCCAAAGACAGTTCTAACATGAAATGTCTTGTCTAGATTCAACAACAACAACAAAATCCCACATTACTCCATATTTACTCCAGACAATGGGATTTCTTTGTCTATACAGTCTATATGGTAAAATTCAAAAGAAAGTAAGTGACTTTTTAAGCTATGCCCTATCTTTATCAAAGAAATAGAACATAAACCACAATTGCTTATGGGTCTAGCTGTAGTTCATGAGAGTTTGCTTACATTTAGTAAGTATATTGAGCTATTTATAAACCAATCTGATTTAAGTAGTTGCCATTATAGTACATTTAAAAGAAGGACTTTGCTTTTCTTCACAATGCAGATGACATATTATGCAGAATGAAAAATCAAATGACAGCAAAGACACTTGCATAAACAATCTGCTAGAGCACAATACCTCCTCCAGACCCTGTAGTTTCCTACATTGCCACTTGCTGCACCAGGAGACACGTAGATCAGAAAGCTCCCTAACCAAGCAGAGGAAAACCACCCCAGCTCCCGTGGTGCTGGCTGCACCCAGTCGTACTGCAGGAGGGGGCTGCATCAAGTGATGCAGAAATCCAAAGTGCTCTGAGCACACACACCACTGAGCCAGCAGTACGAGCCCTTTCCCCACTCTTCCCAGCTTCAGTGCAAGAGAGCTTAACTGTACCTGGCCTTTACATGGATGAAGATTCCCCATTTCTTCTCTGCTTACTTCTGTAAATGCAGGTGCCAAGCACAACCTGAGGCGAAGCAAAGGCGTCAGGCTTGGGCAGCCATCAGTCCAGCCACACTGCAGCAGTGAAGTGCTCTGAAAATGCTCTGGGCTGAAATAAATAAATAAATAGATAAATATATCGCGCTTGGTGTAAACAGGCTGGGTCTTCCTTCCTCTCCTTTCAAGGAATGAATCACCAGTAAAATCGAGATGACTCACTGAAGGAATTCAAAGCATGCTTTCTGTTTCAGGTAGCACTCTGCAGTAGCCTTATATGCTCTGAGGAGGAGAAACCCAGGCTACATTTTCACATCCATTTCCACAATACTGAGTCAAAACTGCCTGTAAATGCATAAGGTTTTTTAAGGGAAAAGTGGATCTGCCCTCACATCTCATTAACATAGTGAAAGTGTATAAATAGTTGCACGGGGCAGATAATTAGTTGATTCAACACAATATTGTACTCGTAAGCAGCCGCATATCAACTGCTCGACACAAGACAGCAACAGAGCGATTGTTTGCACAATATTGCGCTGCTGTTTACAAAGTGACAAGGGTGTCACAGGAAAGGTTTGCGCAGCACTTTGGACAGCAGCTATTTAGCTCTTCCACGGGACAAGTATGCAGGGCAAGAATTCATTCAACGACCCCAAGACTATTTGAAAAGAAAGGAGTTGTGCCCTTTTACTGACTCTGTAGTACCTGGCTTTGCTCTGAGGTCTCACTGAGACACCTCCCTGCCCAGCCCAGAACCTGGTTACAGTCTTCACTATTCACAGAATTCCCACTCCTTTCTTTTGCTTCCAGTTTGTTATAGGCAAACAGTAACCTCATAACAGTAACCTACTTGACTCTTTGTGGTTTTTTTTTAATTATGTATTTGCTCAGCAAGATTAATTCTACAGAAATGCGTGCATGGTTGTTAAGATTACAAATCATAGTTCCTCTTCAAGAAAAAAAAATGAAACTGGAATTTGGTTTATTTTTTTTTAATCTAAAGAGCTAGCTGGTGTGTTTGCATAAGGATTTCTCTATTGCTCTGAGCCTAAAGACTGTATTGTGTCAGTCTGACAGAAACCACCAACAGCCTATATGCAAAAATTGATAAATTCTGCAAAACACGCTTTGTGCACTGTCTTTGCGAATCTATTAGAGATTTACATGATG